GGTGGCGCGCTTTTCCCTCGGCGCCGAGGTGAGGGTAGCCAGGGCGTCGTTGTCCAGCATCGCTGGCAGCGCGCGTAGAGCCTCGGCGTCCGTCCAGTTCGCCATCTCCTGATGAGCGATGAACCGTCTCTTGAAGCCGCCCCAGTCTCCGTCTGCGCCTACGAATTCTTTCAGAGGCGGCAGACGCTGCTGCAAGGCGACGTCCGTGGCTGTAGATCGCTCTCCGTCGCTCCCCGCCGATGATACAGTGTGGGCGGGCTGTGCACATGGCATCGCCGGTCGCTCCGATGTTGACGCGCCGGCCGGTGTTGATGATGTCACGGCTTGTGCTTGGCGCTCAGCAGTCACGTGACGCGGGCCGGCCCCGCCGTCCGCTCGCACTGTAGAGATGGCGGGAAATTTAACCGCCAGCCGCGTCGGGGTGGCGGGAAACGTCGCCGCGCGCCGGCTGCTGTCGTCGACCCGCGCTGCCCCTCCAGCCCCCAGCCGCGTGATCTCCTCCAACGCAGCGGCGGCGGCGTAGAGCAGTTCTGCCAGGCGGGAGTGGGCCAGCCGGAGTCCTTCAGCCGACGCATCCCCCCCCTCTTGTCGTAGCGGCACGGGCGTACTTGGCCCCGGCTGCTCCGATCCGACCCCGGCCATCTCTGGTGTTGAATCGGCCGCGGCGTCTTCCATCTCCGACTCCTTGGTACGTGTCGTCCCTCGTGTGTCCATCGTTTGGACGTTTTACTTCTGACACCAGATGTAGTACGTATATGGAGGCTTGACGACAGGATCGGAGGCACACTTATTTATTACACCAACACAGTTATTTACAGGTCACTGGGCTACAGGGATTGTTCGACAGCTAACCCCTCTAACCTATACCAATTCCTCCACTACGGGACTAGGGGAGGCTATCTGTCCCAGCTTGGTTAAGCTGGGATCCCGGCTCCCTGAGTCACCAGACCAGCTTCGTCTGGGCTCGCGGGGCCACGCCACCGGCTTGCCCTGGTCGGCCCTTATAAGGACAGCGAGCCAGGGGAGCTCTGGGGCCTACACTAGCAGGTCTTCCGTCTTCTCTGGTTATAGCTGAGTCCCGACTCCCGAGCCTTTCGGCTCATCACCTTTTATAGGACTTGCCCCCAAGGGGGGGCCCGTGGGGGATACACATGCGGACGTCGGTGCGAGCGCCACCCTTGTGTACGGCCGTAACCCCGCCCCTTGTGTTTGTTGGCCATCCGTGGCCATGCATAATCACACCTCAACATTCGTAGACATGCGCAATTACACCTCTACACATGTACACCAGCATCTGCAATTCATCTCAGTCAGTTAGCCCATCAAGCCCATGTTTGTCCCATGACCAAGTACTGCGGTGATGTCACCGAGTGGAGGCTGCTGTTGTTGTGTATGCCCCGCATGATGGAGAGAGTGCTCTTCATTTGAATCCGTTGTATGTCACGTCAGCAATCATTAGCGACGTGGCCTAGCGGTATCGCGTTTGGTGCTTGTTGCAGAGGTACAGATCACCTTAAGAGCATTACAAAGATCCAACTTATCATTAACCCACATTACAATGCTGTTTTTCATTGGACTTGTCATAATCGAAGTTGCACATTGTTCAATTAGGTGATCTTCTCGTGGTGTACCAAGTTTAATTTAAAAAAAAAATCCAGTGCCGCAGAAACCCCTCAGTGTTGAACTCAGAGAATGTCTTTGGGGGAGGGTGAGTTGTGTGGGACAGGTCTAATTTTAGCACGCAGCAAACTCTGTGCATTGACAAACACCGCACTTAACAACTCTGGCTGGAGGACATCCATGGGGTCAAGACTTTTCATGGGGGAGGGGGGGGTTTCTTTCATGTGCTCGTTCTGTTGCACGCACGGGTGTAAAATAAGCCCAGTGGAAAACTGTCCACAGCGCTACGGGGTGAAAGGTAATGGGGCCGTCCATAAATGACGTCACGCGATTTTGGACGATTTTTTACCCCCCCCCCCCCTCGTCACACGGCGTCACAAAAAGTCAGACCCCCCCCCCCTTAAATATGACGTCACAAAGCTCTGCTCCCCCCCCCCCAAACCATATTTCTATTTTGAAAATAAAACATGCTTCAAATCGCTTTAAACTATAGTCATTGTAGTGCGTATTTAATGTGGCGCTGGTACTCTGATGTTGTGGGAGTCTTGCTATAACAACCAGTGTTGTTATAACAACACTCCTACAACATAACAATTAGTGTTGTTATAACAATTCTAGATTCATTTAAAGTTGCGCATTTTTATGTGACGTCACATTTCTCAACCCCCCCCCCCCCTCGTCACACATCGTCACAAATATCTGACCCCCCCCCCCCAGATGCGTGACGTCATTTATGGACGGCCCCAAAGGTGCTATCGTGAATGGGGTGGGGGGGGCTTGCTCACGCCACTGCGGGGAGAAGAGGTGGGGGGGTCAGACATTTGTGACGATGTGTGACGAGGGGGGGGGGGTGAGAAATGTGGCGTAACATCACAATGCGCAACTTTAAATAAATATAGACAACACGTTCTACTTAATTAAATATACTTTTTGATAAATGTTTTCTCCTACAACATCAGAGTACAGCGACACATTAAATAAGCACTACAATGACAATAATTTAAAGCGATTTGAAGCATGTTTTAATTTTTTTTTGGGGGGGGGGGGGGCAGGGCTTTGTGACGTCATATTTGAGGGGGGTCTGACTTTTTGTGACGTCGTGTGACGAGGGGGGGGGGGTCAAAAATCGTCCAAAATTGCGTGACGTCATTTATGGACGGCCCCTAACACATGATTTACATACTAATATGATGTATATAATGAGAAGAACATAGGGCATGGGTCTCAACACATTGAATTTAAAGCGCAGTATCGCGGTAGACAGTACTTATCATGCTTGTAGCATTGTCTTTCTTAATATGTCATAATGTACTTTGTAATTGTGGGTGCAATTAATGTTTAATTACAGAGAAAAATAATAAATCAAACTATAATGTATAAGCCACTTGGTCATTAGCCTCTTCAGAAAACTACTTCATACATACGGTTGGAAAACAACATTTAGAATGATGTTATGTAACATTTCCACAGGAAAGTGATTATAATAGTGACTTTGAACCGTGCAAGCCCATGGACTTGTCAACATATGCAGATGGTTTTACTATAGCGCCATGTACAGAAACTTCGCAAATGTGTTCATGTAGTGGCACAACACATGGCGACGGTCCATAGCAGGAAGACTCTCTCATCCAGCCATACTTTACACCTCCGATTAGCACGGTTGGCTACGTGCAGTTCGAAAGAAGTTCAACATACATACACACATACTTCTCAGGAGGCTCACGTTTTACCAAAAAGAGCCATTGCAACGGTCTGAATTGCTTTTAGTAACCGAACATGAAACTCGTTTTTTTTTAGTGAGATGGTAACAGGGGACGGATGATACTTGGCCGGACTTGTTTGATTTAGAGATGGGATTGTAGAGTGCTGTTGAGATGTTTTATTATTATCGCAAAGACAAAACATATTCCGTGCTCAAAAGCACGTATTTTATGACTATTATTGGTGGCAGTAATTTATTTTCATAAATGATGCATTTCTTTGTCTACGATATTGTCCTATCTGTACAAATAGATGGCCAAACTTAAACTGGAAAGCCTTGAGTATCCTGTTTGTCTTGGCAACACAATTTATTAAGATTGGTCACCAGTTTGAAAATCTATTTCCCAGAATCGAAAAGGACGAGCAGACGCTTCCTGTTGAGTAACATTGCATAATAATAAAAATCCAGTAAAACAATAAGATTAAGTACCGCATTTAGATGATCGGTATATAGTGTATGTCATATATATGCGAATTACGTACATTGATTGGCAAACTTTAAAAAACACCTTCAATAACGCATGTTTAATATACAATTGATGCACGCAATGTAAATTTCAAACATTCCATTAAGTTATTGCAATGAATACGATACTTTCTAACATCTTAATGGGATACTCACATGAATGATTAAATTCAAGATTTGTGTGCAAGACAATATATTTTCGAGTCTTGAACTGATATCCAATTTCTCATAACCAAGAGGAAGCAAGATGATGCAAAGATGCATAAACATGCAATGGTCTCAATAAAGCGAAAACGAGGTGATTGTAAATATATTCATTCTTGATTTGAAGCTTTCGTGACTGCAGGAGTCCATACTCGTTGGTTCTTTCGGTAAAGTCACGTAGGTAGATAAATAGATCACGACGTGTCAATCGCAACGCTTGTAAATATATTACCATTTTATTAGTTTTAAATTATTCATGGTTAGTCTGACCTATCTGTATTTGCCTAAAGTGAAAATCATTATTATAAAATCCCTGGTTTGTATTTCTTGTGGTAAATTCAGAATCGTCTAATTTATACTGAATGGTTAATGTTATTTACAGATTGCAAGCCACTGAAACAGTATAGTACATTTTTCTATTTAAAGCTTTCGTGACTGCAGGGATTCATCTTCGTGGTTCTTTCGGTAAAGTCACGTAGAAGGGAAATAATAAAAATAAAACATTATAAATAAAATTCTCACGACGTTTCGGCCACAACACAAGCAGCCGTCCTCAGGTGAAGAACAGAGCTGTCTGAAAAACAGCATCGTGAGAATTGTATTGTATTTTTATTTCCCTTGTACGTGACTTTACCAGTATAGTACATGTTTAAACATGCACACAGCCACGAATTCAGAATGTGTGGGCTGGTTGGTAAAGGGGAGACCAAGGACAGGTCCAGATATCTCACAACTGCTGTCATCCTTGGTCGAGAATCAAGCTCAAGAAGCTTGGTTCATCGTGCAGTATACTAACCAACGTGCCACCACTCCACCCCTTAATATATTCATACCTATATCAATGTATATTGCAGTGATACATAAAACTTAGCACCATATACAACTGAAAATACAAATTTAATGTCAAAGTTGAACTTTTTTATTGTAGCTGTAAATGCCACAAACAGAGTTGAACATACGAAGGCGAGGCATAAAATATACATACAAACTGTCCACAAGTCACATTTAAATCGCACCAACAAAGATTGTGCTTATTTAATTCGCACGGACGACAAAACTGACGCAAATGCACAGATCACATGGGTAAAAGACAAAAACAGCATACATGACCTCATCTGTTTAACTCGTGAGCAGATAACCTTAAAATGTACATTAATGTCGATGCCACTAGTAACCAGGTCTGCCGCATGGTAAAAAGTCCACTTCCCTTTGTTAGTGTGCAATAATAAACAACTTTTGTTGAAGTATCTATAAAAAAAAACATAAAAACACGACTACAACCTTGTTAAATTTAGGGCGCATTTACTGTGATATCACAGTAGTTATGATAACGTTACTGCAGAATGCATGCCCCTACAATTAGTTGTGACAGGTCCAGTATTCGGGTGGCAGTTGGTGACTCCAGGTTGAGGAAGTAACAAATTCCGCCTCGGGTCTTTCTTTGAAGTCTCCAGCAAGAACGTTGCGACGTGGATTTATTGACAAACTGGGATGCACTGCCAAGTGGCTTCATCATCGGGGCTTCTCGCACCAGGCGAGCCCACGCAAAACACGGAGCTTCCCGTGAGAAACCGGGTGCAACAGCATCAACATCATCACCACCAACGTCACACAATGCCCTTGTGTTCCAAATATAAATTCGTTAAAGTTACTTTTGTTTAACCGGGTGACAACTCCAAAGATCAGGATATCGTCTAATTTGCAAGAGTGACCTGGCTTAACTGCACGTGTCACGTGGGACTGTAAAAACCTGAGGTGGAGCTTTTGTTGTTGTTTCTGTTCTGAACCTGGAGCCACGTGTATCGTCATTGCAGTGTATGTTGCACATTGGAATGATCCGCATAATTGTGATGTACTACTGATACGCCGACTATCTTAATAGGCATCGTGGTACGGGTGTGCACATGCATAGTTATTTTATACATAGTACTGGACAGAATAGCAGCTTCAATATTAAAGGTGCTTCTGCTCAGCAGCAACATACATTATGAACCTATACCATGCTTACCACGAAACAGAATTTGGCAGCATGCCAGACACCTACCAAAACGCAATTGATACGTATCACATTTACAAGGTTACTCACAGTTTGCATTGTCAACTTCAACACACGTGATTGATCCAAACAAATGTAAATGTGCCATGTTAATGTACACTGCCACGTGGTGGTGGTGGTGGTGGTGGCAACACTGTTGGCAAGCCTCGCAGAGGGGTTAATGAAAGTTTGCATCAGATAAAATCAAGCAAATCTGACAAGCTGCAACGTGGCATATTACTTAACCTGGCTTCAAATCACAGGTTACGTTACCAGGCCACGCAGCACAGACGCGGGTCTTGCATGTTGCTTTAGCAAAGAAAAGCACATGTATGGCATCATGCAGGACTCCTTGGCTGACGAGCGTAATGGCTTGGGTTGACACGTGTTGTGTCAAGAGGAAGGGAGCGTGAGGTTTTTTGGGGACTGGTGGGATTGGGAACATGAAGGCACATCCCATGTGTGACGTTGTTTAGAGATTGTGGCACTCAGATGTTGATGGGGGGTTCCTAATCCCTGAGCACGTCGTTCATATTTTCTGTATTAAACATTGATAATTAAAATGTTCCTTTACAATAATATTTACAGTGCACGAGTTGTGTCAGTGTGTGTTTGATATAATATAATAAGTTATACAGGGCTGTAAGAATGTGGGAAGATAACGATTTTGGCCAAGGCTCCATTTGTTAGGCTCCTTAACAAGTTGTATCTTTACACATGTGGAACACATGAATATCTTATTCAAATACAATTAAAAAAAAACCTGTTCATAATAGCTAAAACAGCAAAAACAAATATTGTGTATGTGCATATATTTGCAAAAGTGGTCAAGCACACGACAGTGAAAAAAAATAAGGATTCTAATATCAGAAATTAGTTCCTAATGCAAACATTTTAATGAACAACTGTTCACCGACAAGCAGGCATTGTTACAAGCTTATCTAACAATAATAATAATGTCCAACATACACCCTCCCCCTCACAATTACACCCACATCCCCTGAATATGCTATGATTAAACCATGCCATGTACGACAAATTGCGAGAGAGAAAAAAACACATTTTACAAAAAGATCCTGCAGCAAAATGTCTTCATCCCCGCCCAAAATAAAACCAATTGGAGTAAATGAATATAAAACAGCATGTATAGATTTTTTTTTTTTCATTAAAATAGGCTGTTTTAAGTGTAATGAACTTTCTTTCATATAAAAAAAGAATTGTAAAGAATTTACCAATTACTTTTGGTGAAGTGCACTCTGCATTTAAAAAGACAGTATAATGGCGCTTTAAAACATTATTACTGTACTAGGATTGTAATAATATGCAGTTTAAGTTGTTTTGTAGCATAAAAAGATCAAGAACCCGTGTCTTTGATTACTCTACTTAAGGTAATTATGCATGTTTGTTTTTCTTCAATGCAACGCATTATCTGAACATATATGCAATATTGATGGGCATTTAAAATACAGTACTTACATTTAGGGTTATTTGGCATCATTAATATATCCGACAAATGGAATGCAATTAATGTTTTTACCCAGAACAACTACTCACAATTAAGTTGTGTAGTGTTGGAAGGCCATAAGCCTCGACTATGCGTGGAGAGTGTATGACGGAGAGTGATTTACACATCTTACATACTGTCAATCACTGTCGTCTTGTATGATGAAGTAGTTGAATCTTTAGATATGACATAGTGTGTGTGTGTGCTGTGCAAGCAATGGTGTTGCACCATCTGCAAAAGTTTTACAGATCTTGAGCAGCACTGCCCTTTAGTTCTTCTTCCGTCTCAGGAAAGAGAAGAATCCAGTCTTCGGTGGCGGTCCCATCAACATGGGCGCTTGGTTTTTATGTATGATCTTGATCTGCAACAATTCAACATCAAATAACGAAGCAGGCATATGAGTCAGGTCTGACCACCCTACTCATCATTTATGGAAACATTACAACGATGGAAGGAATTTTTTTAAACACTCAAGTGGACTAAATTACCCACACTTTCATTAGTCTACACTTATTAACTAGAATATTTACATCAATAAATTTGTAATACGCTTACATAATAAAAAATCACCATTAATTTGCCTGTTTTTTAGAACAGCAAGTTTTTAATTCCCCGGCGTACTTAATTAGATTTATATCAATGTGTATGCTGGCTAAGCACTATAATTACGAAGCATATTTTGTACATAAAAGCAAGCCAACATTTTGCAATGTACAGTATCGCAGTTATGAGATCGCCATCGTTTACTTGCGTTCAGGTGGTTTTCGAGCTATGGTGTGTGCAAAACTCCCAATTGTATTTACCATTTGCAAAGATAATATCAAGTATAAATAAACAAATAATAATGATAATGAGAATAATAACAACTTAAATAAAATTAGAGTCATATAAATTCACCCTTAAATATAATCGGACAATGTTTATCCTAACCAACAAAAATTGCTCCCTTGAGGTTAATTGAAACATGTACCACTGATTCAACAATTGTAACCACAAAGCAATTTTAGGTATGCAGCATATCCCAAAATAATTCCTTGGCCTAATGTCACGAACTCAATGTTGTGTTTTTTCACCAACTTCTTGTCATACACATCCTCCATGCTCACTCCATGGGTATTTACCGAAAGGTTTAAGCCTGGTGTGGTGTATTAAGTGTTACGTAACAAATGAAACTACTGAATGTTGCTGTTTTTATGCTTGTGCATTTCATGATAATCATCGTCATTAGGCCATATCTAGCCAATGCTGGACAAAGACCTCCTCAGCCATCGCCATCTCTTATGTATTAATCCATCTAACACTTTATTAGCCTTGGCAAAAGTGTGTGTTTTGTCCATCTCCCCTAGTAATATGTATTTTGGTATTTTCTTTATACAAATATAGACAACAGTAAAAAGGCGTTCTTAGTGATAGTTAAATAAAGTCAACATTTTCAGTGTCATCAAAAGTACAAATATACTAAGACAAAGGTTATGGGCACCCCAAATAATTAAGAATATTGCAGGTACCCAATGGCATTTTAAGCCACTTAAATATTAAAAATATAGTAAAGGCCTCAGCGAGACTTGAGGGGTCGTGTTATAATTAGCAACAAACTCATATCATCACAATTAATGAATGTTAAAACTTCATTCTAGATTTGAAGTTTCCGTGACTGCAAGGATCCATACTCTTTGGTTCTTTCGGTAAAGTCACGTAGGTAAAAAAAAAGTAAATTAAATCGCGACGTTTCGATTACAATACAATCAATCATCATCAGGTGTGAAAATCACAGCTAGAAATTTTTTACTAATTTGTACAAAATTTTTTACTTTAGTAAAAAAAATTCTAGCTGTGATTTTCACACCTGATGATGATTGCTTGTGTTGCAATCGAAACGTCGTGATTTAATTTACGTGACTTTACCGAAAGAACCAAAGAGTATGTTAAACTTCTTTCGCATCGTGCGTAGCCAACCGTGCTAATCGGAGGTGTGATGAGCATCATCGATTAGCACGGTTGGTAGAAGATGTAACTTGTCATTACAATAAAGCCACGGGCATTTTTATGAATGCAGGTGTACCTGCAAAAGCATGTACATTTCTCTTGTGGGTGACATTAAGAGATGCGCAACTTGGGTGTGCATATCTAACACAACCTCATTCTGAAAAAAAATTACTCTCATAGCTTGATCGTAAGTTAAGCCCATAATTGTTGGAACTAACTTTTAACATACTATATTTATTCTATTTGTAGATTTGCTTCTTAGAAAGCCTAATGACCAATTGAGAAAAAACAATTATTCTGCAATCTACTGTGAATAATTGATATTGGAAATTATTTTGTGGAAGCGAACACGCCACGAAAAAACAAATGACAAACCATAATTTGTTATCGTTTTGCTTTCTGATGTATAACAGCATACAAGCAATAAACATAGAAGCAGTTACGGAGTGATGATCGAGCCCAGGGGTCGGCAACCTGCAGCTCTGGAGCTGCATGTGGCTCTTTAAGGACTGCTTCAAAATGTTATTTCTATTGAGGACCATCTTCTCGTATTCACATGCATTGCAGCTCTTGAAATAGAGCTTTTTTAAAATCCTTTATATTAAGTTCACTTGCTTGCTTGCGTGCTTGCTTGCTTACGACCGTGCAAATCTTTCAGTCGTTTTTAAACCCACTTCCCGTGATCCAATCGAGCTGACATTTTGCACACAAACTCGTTGTGCGTGACAATTAATTTTCGTAAAAAAAAATTTCCTAAATTTTACACTGTTTAAGAAAAAAAAAATATTTAATTACCAATTGCTTAATGGTGACAGACAATCATCTGACCCATAGGTGGCAGCCATCTCAAGCCAGAGGACGAGAGGACTCTAGCCGCCACGCACATAAAGGATTTAAAGTGAAAAACTTAGTTTTTACGGGTTAATTTTTTCTTACCAAATTTGACAACAATGCCTCTTCTTGTTATTTTGGTTGGCGACCCGTGATCTAGGCTAAACTGTTATTAAATATACGTTGTATAGCTTAACAGTTGAATAGCCATTCAGCCAATGGGCACTCAAGAGCAACTTGTGAAAATTTCCTTCAATCTACGTGTTTATTTTAATAAGATAGAGTGCTATTTTGAATCATCATACACAATCATTTCCGCTGCAAGAAATATAATTTATTTAACAGACATATTGTCCCAAATCAGAACTATCTCATTTAAGTGGTCTTGACAAGGCTTCGCCTGACGTTGGCATGTATGAGCACTTTATTTATTCTACAATATTCTGCGATGTGCTGTAAAGTGTGCATATTTCGCTTACTGTGCAGGGTGGCTGCATCCAAGGCTCTCCATCAATCTGCATAGGTAGCAGCTTGGTCGTCCTGCAAAGCAGCAACAATGTCATCATCTATCAAGGATGCACTCTTCTGCTGTGCAAACAGAATACATAAAAACAAAAACCGTAACCTTTGTTTAAAGCCAGCTTGTTGACATGACCAATGCACAGAGGCAGGATGTATTTAATTATTGCCGATCCACAAATTCTCCATGGATGTCTCGCCTCAATTCAACTGCATTTAACTTTAGGACTGGAATCAATGCGAGTTTGCCGAGCGCAAACAAAAGCCACAAGACTTGCTTATTCAATGAGTTTTCCAGAAAGTAATTTCAACATGCATTTTACTAAACCTTGGTCCACAACTGCTCCTGAAAAAAAGCAAAACTAATGTTGGGATATTTTATTTTTTTAAGGGCCCTGAAAAGCTTTTTTCCTATTCTTCTAGATTTTATGCAGGAAGTCTCTCCTGCCAAAAAACACTGTCCTCAATTGGGAAAATATGTAAAGCAAATTGACAATGTCTGCAAAGTGGAAAATCCATTTTTGCCAGAGCTGTAATGTGAGCTCAATGATATGCACTACTCTCATACCTAAAATTGGAGGAAGCCACATTTGGCGCTATACCAAGCTACTGATGTTGGCTGACAGCATGAGTGATGGCACTTTGCAGCTACATCGAGATGGAATGTGTCAACAGCATAAACCAGAGCCAAACGGTTGTGTATGTTTGGATAAGGTACCTTTTTTGTCTTGAATTGTTCTCCTACTAAGTTTAATTACATAGCGGCGTGAACTTTATAAAAACAGTTTGATTGTTCGTACATGTGTGACTTGCTTTCCACTTGTGTCACAATAAGTATGCTGTACACGTTAATTGAAAAAAAATGTTGGGTGTTCACTGCTTAATATTCATATTTTCCCTTATTGGAAAACAGGGTTTTAGACAATAATAGGTTTAAGTGTGTGGAACAAATTAATCTTAAACATTCTATAAATGTGCTTGGGGAAACTGATAACTGTAAGCACTTACACTTCGGTGAATGCACAGAGAAAAGGGATTATTATTATTATTATTTTTATGCGTGTATTAATATAGCTTAGGTAATTCATACTTTTCTGCAAGCTCATTTAAGAAATGTTTCAGGTTCCTCTGTTTCATTACTGGACCATCAAAAAACGTGGATGCCATTTAATTGTAGTAATCATTTGTATTCAAATACTGCAAAGCTCATGTGAAAATTATAATGCTGAAACAGCAAAATAAACAACTTACAGCCTATTGTAAATATACTTCTGGATGAAGGCCTCCTTAGACCACGTTTGCAACTAAGTTGTTTGACCATTATATATCATGTTCAATGCAGGTTGGTGAAGGGTGGGGTGATGGGTGGGTAGCAGCAGGCATGGTTCACATGTCACTCACCAATGTTGTTAGCCATGTCTGGGTTCATGGCGCGGTGTACTCACCACTGCGCCAACACTCTTCGTCTAGTATTTTAAGAGTTCCAAATATATAACTCAGAGGGTCCCATTCTCCCAAATATACTGAGCTGTGTCACATTATTACGATGACATTATATTCATATATATTGAACAAACCATGCCAGAGAAAAAATATATATAATCTTCACGCACAGCCCTTTGTCAATCCACTGCTAGATGAGGGTGATCCCCCTGCCATGCAGGTCACGGGGGTCATTTGACCACCACACTAATAAGTATACAAGGTACGCACAGTTAAAAACAAAGGACATTGTTAAATTGTCCATTAAAAGAACAGTGCCTACCTGATGGTCACGGAGGAACACTGGGCCAAGCGGGAACCTGCACTCTTCAGCCCCGTGTAGATCTGGCCCATTTCCATAGCTCCATCCAGCCCAACCACCTCCAGCAGATGGTCACTGAGGTCTGAAAGGCAGATCACACAGTGTTGTGGGTCAAGCAGGCTTTACAAGAAGATGTTCAGGAAAACCACAATTCTCTCCAGTCAATGAGAGATGATAAGAGATCCCCATCTCACTGGATAAACGTATTCATTAAGCCTGGACAGAAGTCATATTCAAGGAATTATGGGAGAGCCAACAGCATCATATATGCCCTCGCTAGATGTGCATATGCAATAACAATAATAATGATGATATTCCTATACCCACAAATATCTGAATTAAATCAGGACTTTCGGGATGGTCCTGCTTTGGAGGTTTGCCCAATTCTCTTCTTTTTTGTTGCACATGGAACAAAACAAATGCGTATGGTGAGCAGAGCTAGTCTCTAAATAAAGTAAACATTTCTCGAATCGTTGACTGAAAGTGTGAAACGAATAGGTGATATACCGGTGGACACAAGAGCCAATGCATATAACACGCGGAATGGCAAGTATCATAGCACGAGTACTTTTAGGGAAGACACGCTTCATTGCCTATACCAATTGCAATAAAATTCCAGTAAAAATTATTTATTTTGCATTCTTTGCACACGTTCTTCAGGAGAATGACACTTGGAATGTGGTAAGTCATTACGATGTGTGGAACAATTCAACCATCAGGGTCATGATATGAATCTATAACTTTTTTCAACATCGTGGTGAATGGTAGCACCTCCAGTGGCTGCGGCAAATTTTGATTGAAAAATATCGGGAGTATTTTGTGCGCATGTATCGTGAGCTTAATCATCGATATTAATCTATTAACTGATGCAACGTTCCACCCCTACACATTGCCGCTTCTCCAAATAGAACACGTTGGTCATGTAGAAAATAGCCAAATATGAAATAAAATGTTGGATTTGTTTTGTTCATGGAATTGTAATTTGACGTTGTTTTGATTGTAGTTTTTTTTATATATACGTTTTTAAATAAGTTTCTGGCATGCATTTTGAACACAATGCCTCAGATTCTAGTATAGCTGTCTTTTGGACTTGTGGGCAGAGACAATTGAAAACACATGGGTGCAGAAGGCATCACTGGAATTATTATACAGAAACCAGGCTTTAGAAGCTCTGCTAGATCTCAGTTCTAACAAACTGCCGGAACAATCGGCAATCACAAAACTATGCAGCCTCTTCATAATCACTGTAACTGCAGCGAACATTATTAAACGAGTCTCAAAATTGTGTCAAGTGACGAACTGCTTTACTCATCATTTATGGGGGTAAGACACTTATGAAAGTACTGTAGAGAAAATACCGAGCAAACCAATTCATGCGTGTCGTCTTTTCGCTTCAATAAATTGTCTGTGGTTGTATAAGGGGTAAAATAAAAAAAAAACCCATTCACATGGAAGACACCTGCATTTGCAATATAAAATAATGAGCTCAAACTGTTTATCAGCTTTCATTCACATGCACACCCACAATATAACCATATCTGTGCTTAGAACATTCTTAAAATAAGGCCAGACGGTTCTTCTTTCCAGACCGTGTGTCTCCGACTCGACTGCGTCAATCTGTGGGGGGGTGGGCGGTGGGGGCTTCAAAGCAATTGCGTGACATTCATTAATAATTTATAAACACCCACCAGGCCCACCAATTATAATAGACATTGACAGACCCATTCCATCTTTCATCGGGACGCAAGAGTCCAGGTGGATTCAGGGATGTTTATTTAAAAAAAACATTGAATCTCCCCGACAGTGGCATTATTGATCACACGGTTCAATATTGCCACTTCAGGACAATTAATTGCCAAAGGGCCTCGGATACAAAGAGGTAGAATATTTTAGTTTATGCAGCACAGCTTCGACAAACATTTAAGCATGCATACATCGCTAATTAAAATACACCATTGTAAAACCCACAGATGTAACAAGTGGATGTTTTAGTCGAAATGTAGTGTGCGTTACAAAGTAGTTGACCGTGCTTTTACTGTCAAAAGTCCACATTAATAAACATAGATTCCATTGCTTCTTACACCGTTTGAGTGTGTTACTTGTAAGATGTGTAAAAACAGCATGGTAATTCACGATATGTAAGATGGTTGGAATTACTAGATCCAATTATTTAATTGGTACCATAGGTGGCTGTTTGGCTTTAATAAGGGAGTGTTAACATAAGAAGCGATCTGATGGCACATTGTTTTCAAAAACACGTTTTCAAAAACAAGTTTGATGGCTATCCAAATGAGTCACGTGAATGACATCACTTCATGCGAGCCACACATCCTTCCATAAATGGACTGAAATAAATACGTTTTTGTTGATAAATATATTATTCACACGCTTAAAAGAAATGCAATTCCTGAACGCCAATGTTTAACTCAATATTTTCATTTAATTGCGGTTTCCATTTTCGTAATTTAACATTTAAAGTTCACGATTTTGCAACTGTTAAATTTCTCTGAAAGCAAATTACGCTTTTTTTATTTTGAGTGGGCAGCACTGATGCGATTCATATGGTAAAAGTAGAAAACCCGAGCTCCGTGAAACGTCAGTGATATTGCTCCAATTTGTGTGGCCACACACGCACGTACAGTGCGCAAACACTCACTTCATTGACCTGCTACTGTTATCACGCGTATCGCGTGACCTCATCACACAGCACTCATTGACAGCTCCTGAAAGAGTTCCACATATCAACACCCTGAGTATACACCATAATGTCAGCAATTACAAGACTTATTTGGGAGGCCAGTTCCATTGTGGGGCAATGTTTTTCAAGTACATATCTGACCAATGTCTATCTCACGCGTGCAGCAATGTTATGCTTTGATGGTAATGTTTAGCATACAGGAATACATGCTCGTGGGGTGGGGAGGAATAACCTTGTTTAGATCCAACTATCACCTGCCTATTCTTAGGTTTTTTCGGTAAAGTCACGTAGGTAAAAACATTAAAAAGTAAAATAAAATAAAAATCACGACGTTTCGGAGGCAACACAAGCTTCCGTCTTCAGGTGGTACCGTCACAGCCACGACAGCTGTATCAAGTAAATGAGAGATTGCTTGATACAGCTGTATCAAGTAAATGAGAGATTGCTTGATACAGCTGTATCAAGTAAATGAGAGATTACTTGATACAGCTGTATCAAGTAAATGAGAGATTACTCGATACAGCTGTCGTGGTTGTGACGGTACCACCTGAAGACGGAAGCTTGTGTTGCCTCCGAAACGTCGTGATTTTTATTTTATTTTACTTTTTAATGTTTTTACCTACGTGACTTTACCGAAAAAAACCTAAGAATATGAATCATTGCAGTCACGAAAGCTTCAAATCTAGAACTATCACCTGCCTTTAAACGAATCACACGGAATGCACCCAATCTTGTCGAATCTCAGACACTACGCAGGGTTTGAGCCTAGATAATGCTTGGACAGGAAACCACAATGCGTCACAGGTGTTATAGGTTGTGGGGCTACCTGGTGGACAGTGCAGAGAAATACATTGTTGTACTGTACTTTAATGCTCCTGCACGAATGCTTCCCAAACATTCACTGACCTGTACTGACTAGCATGGTGAAGTATCGTCAAACAACATCCAAGACGTGCATGTGATTTGGGAGACCCACATCCAGCAGTTGATTGGCAAAGGAATGTCCATGTATTACCAGTGGGAGATCTTATAAGATATATGTGGTACATTATTTAAGCAATGGTCTATACAAAATTCAGTTGGGCCAGTTCAGAATGCAGTTCCACGAATTAGAGCCACAACCATTTCATTTTTATAAACATGTTCGTAGAACTATAATACATATAGGGCACAACAATATACGACTACGATGGATAGGCATATTTTGTACTAGTGACAGAGCCTGATGCCTATACTGTAATCCCTACTACAAGCCAGCATAGCGGCGTTTCAGAAAATGTTGAGTGAGAACGTAAGCCCCGTGGTCTATAAATGCAAAAATGGTTATACCGTACATATAATTAAATTGTCTTGGATAATATATCAGAAATTCCAAGTGCTTTATAGCATTTGTGAAGCAGTGCTCATTCTTTGTTTACTGCAATGTCTACTACCGTGCACCATAACTCGTTTAAGTATGCTACACATATGCAAGTAAAACGTGTACACGCTACACAATAGTTCCATCATGATGCAATGAAAGACAGGGCTTGCCTACATATGATTTAAATACAGTACAGCGTTGAAGAAAAAAACATAAAGAGAAATGTAAAAAATTATACTTTTAATAATGTGAAAAACTGCAAACCATCCGATAACGATTAAAAATAATTATATCGCTGAATGTGAACTTACAATACGCATGCAAAATACCCATTAACCTCTTGAGTGGTTTCATTTTGGTATCAAATGTGATATACTGTATCACATTTCATACCATGTAAAAGTTCATACCATAAACATTTAAAAGCAAGCTGAAGAAATGAGTAGTCTGCATCTATTGCATGCAGATTTATTTTGAAGAAAAACTGGCTTAAATGTTATTTTGGCAATACTGAACCAGAATAGTTGTCTCCATCTTGAAAATACATAACTCAGAGCTGATTTCCTGCAACAACAAAAAACTGGCAGAGTTCTTGGCAAATGTACTTGGAGTACATTTACTTGGAGTACATTTAGGATAAAAAAAACAGATTTTATGTTTTAAGCATTTGTTCAAATGCACATGTTGCACTCTGTTTTAATTTACAAGTTATCAATAAGCAAATCTTAGAAACAATATAATGTTTTTTAAAATGAAAATTAGGTGAACGGTATTTTGAAATTACTGCAGTACAGTAATATTTTGTGCATGTTATTCATAAAAAATGCAACACAAGTGAGCATTTGCCCAAATTTTCGTCATTTGTAAAAGCATGACATTATCTTCTTGGTTCTTTCAGTAAAGTCACGTAGACGGGGAAAAAAAAAACATAATAAAATAAATATTTATTATGATTTATTTTTATTATTTTATTATTTCCCTTCTACGTGACTTTACCGAAAGAACCAAGAAGATGAATCCC